TCAATGTGCACTCTTCTGCTGACAGAGGCTGTGGCCTGTCTTGTTTTAGAATGTGAGTTGGCCTGGTTTTCAATGTGCACTCTTCTGCTGACAGAGGCTGTGGCCTGTCTTGTTTTAGAATGTGAGTAGGCCTGGTTTTCAATGTGCACTCTTCTGCTGACAGAGACTGTGGCCTGTCTTGTTTCAGAATGTGAGTAGCCTGGTTTTCAATGTGCACTCTTCTGCTGACAGAGGCTGTGGCCTGTCTTGCTTTAGAAAGTGAGTTGGCCTGGTTTTCAATGTGCACTCTTCTGGTGACAGAGACTGTGGCCTGTCTTGTTTCAGAAGGTGAGTTGGCCTGGTTTTCAATGTGCACTCTTCTGATGACAGAGGCTGTGGCCTGTCTTGTTTTAGATGGTAAGTAGCCTGGTTTTCAATGTGCACTCTTCTGCTGACAGAGGCTGTGGCCTGTCTTGTTTCAGAAGGTGAGTTGGCCTGGTTTTCAATGTGCACTCTTCTGCTGACAGAGGTTGTGGCCTGTCTTGTTTTAGGATGTAAGTTAGCCTGGTTTTCAATGTGCACTCTTCTGCTGACAGAGGCTGTGGCCTGTCTTGTTTCAGTATGTAAGTTGGCCTGGTTTTCAATGTGCACTCTTCTGCTGACAGAGGCTGTGGCCTGTCTTGTTTTAGAATGTGAGTTGGCCTGGTTTTCAATGTGCACTCTTCTACTGACAGAGGCTGTGGCCTGTCTTGTTTTAGAATGTGAGTTGCCTGGTTTTCAATGTGCACTCTTCTGCTGACAGAGACTGTGGCCTGTCTTGTTTCAGTATGTGAGTAGCCTGGTTTTCAATGTGCACTCTTCTGCTGACAGAGGCTGTGGCCTGTCTTGTTTCAGAATGTAAGTTGGCCTGGTTTTCAATGTGCACTCTTCTGCTGACAGAGGCTGTGGCCTGTCTTGTTTCAGAATGTGAGTTGGCCTGGTTTTCAATGTGCACTCTTCTACTGACAGAGGCTGTGGCCTGTCTTGTTTCAGTATGTGAGTTGGCCTGGTTTTCAATGTGCACTCTTCTGCTGACAGAGGCTGTGGCCTGTCTTGTTTCAGAATGTGAGTTGGCCTGGTTTTCAATGTGCACTCTTCTGCTGACAGAGGTTGTGGCCTGTCTTGTTTTAGGATGTGAGTTGGCCTGGTTTTCAATGTGCACTCTTCTGCTGACAGAGGCTGTGGCCTGTCTTGTTTCAGCATGTGAGTAGCCTGGTTTTCAATCTGCACTCTTCTGCTGACAGAGGCTGTGGCCTGTCTTGTTTCAGAATGTGAGTTGGCCTGGTTTTCAATGTGCACTCTTCTGGTGACAGAGGCTGTGGCCTGTCTTGTTTCAGCCTGTGAGTAGCCTGGTTTTCAATGTGCACTCTTCTGCTGACAGAGGCTGTGGCCTGTCTTGTTTCAGAATGTGAGTTGGCCTGGTTTTCAATGTGCACTCTTCTGCTGACAGAGGCTGTGGCCTGTCTTGTTTTAGAATGTGAGTTGGCCTGGTTTTCAATGTGCACTCTTCTGCTGACAGAGGCTGTGGCCTGTCTTGTTTCAGTGGGTAAGTAGCCTGGTTTTCAATGTGCACTCTTCTGCTGACAGAGGCTGTGGCCTGTCTTGTTTCAGCATGTGAGTAGCCTGGTTTTCAATGTGCACTCTTCTGCTGACAGAGGCTGTGGCCTGTCTTGTTTTAGGATGTGAGTTGGCCTGGTTTTCAATGTGCACTCTTCTGCTGACAGAGGCTGTGGCCTGTCTTGTTTCAGCATGTGAGTAGCCTGGTTTTCAATGTGCACTCTTCTGCTGACAGAGGCTGTGGCCTGTCTTGTTTCAGAATGTGAGTTGGCCTGGTTTTCATGTACACTCTTCAGATGACAGAGCCTGTGGCTTGTCTTGTTTCAGTTGGTGAGTTGGCCTGGTTTTTATGTACACTCTTCAGATGACAGAGCCTGTGGCTTGTCTTATTTCAGCATGTGAGTAGCCTGGTTTTCAATGTGCACGCTTCTGCTGACAGCGGCAATGTGCACTCTTCTGTGGCCCATCTTATATCAGGTAGTAAGTTGAGTTCCTCATCTCATTTTCTCAATTAATTTTACTCACTGTTTTTCTTCACTTATTCTTTTCATTTGCAGAAAGTATGTTGTCTCTCCTGCATGTCTTGTGAGTTTTCTCCAGTACCTTTAATTTATTTAATGTACATGTATTTTATCATTCTTCTTTATCAGATGATCCATCTCAAACCAATATCTACCAGCATGTTAGTTGTATTTCAGCACATGTGGATCAAATCTATGACATGTCTGCTTTTCCTTTTTTTTTAGGATGTAGGTTATCCATTTATTCCCATTTCCATCACCTGATATCCCCTTTTTTCCTTCAGATTGTATGTTTTTATTTTCTGTTACAGAAGAATGCTCATATTTTGTAGCTTGTATGTCTTTCATTCATTTTCAGATTCTGGCACTTCCCCATTTCAACCATCCTTTTTGTTAGAATGTATGTACTTCCCCAAATTACTTGACCAGGTCACTTATTTCATATATATAGTGGGCAAGTCAACTCCATTTTACATCATTTGGAATCTTTGGTGTCATAGAATTCTCCAATTTTTAGAGGGTATGGTTTTTTTCTTGATGTCAATGATCACTGAGCATTTCAAAATGTATAGAAAGATACCACAGAGCTATCCAATTTCTCATGAGCCTGTTTTATTGGAAAATATCAAGTTTTGTATGTAGTTATCTGCTCTATTTCTTCTTGTTCATCTCCATTCCCCTCAGTGGTTGATACATCCTCTATACCTATGATTCCCCAAAACACTCCATGATTGAGTTATATATACACAGAAAAGAAGCAAAATCTCTATGTACTCAGTGTCTGTTTCTGTTTATTGAGGGATAGTTGAAGTCAGTGATTGTCACAGGTTTAGTGACCTGTGTGGGTTATGGGTCAGGGTACACTTGGGTAAGAGTATGGGTTTGACAATCCCAGCCCTGGCCAAACCCACACGAGGTCTTTATTGTCCCCCACTGATTCCTGCAGGATTCCTGAGGATTACCAGGACTCTATATTGGCTGATGTGCCAGCCAATTTTTTGAGTCCTGTGGGGGTCCATTCCTGAGGACTGAAGACAGTCCTCAGGATTTTCGGACAGGACTAGTCCCAGGAATGATGCATTTGATGAGTCACATGACCCATGAGCATGTGCTTGGATACATCATGTGATGTGATGCATCACGTGCACATATTTGTTGATGATAGTTCTCATATGTGACACGTCACGTCACCTCTCTCTTTCCTCTCCACCCACAACCTCGCCCACCACGACCACCACGACCACCACGCAACAGACAACGACGATGACGATGACGACATCAACGGACGACGACAACGACGACTACGACAACGACAACGACAACGATGGTGGTGCCCAACAAACGGCGCCACCACCAAACGGCTGACGTGGCACACCCCATCCAGGTGTGCCACGTCGATGGCGATTTTCTCGACGACGAACGCCCACGACCCCGCGACGAGGGACGACAACCCCACCACCATGTTCCACCACCACCACACACCACCACCACAGCTCACACACCGACGCTGACGAGGAAACGGCGGTGGCGCCCAACAAACGGCGCCACCACCAAATCGCTGACGTGGCATGCCCATCCGGGTATGCCACGTCGACGGCGACTTTTTCGACAACGAACGGAACCCCACAACCACACCACCACCACCTTCCGCCACCACCCACGAACGACGAGCGCCCACGGACAACGAGCGCCCACGGACAACGACGGTCCCCCCACCCACGGACGAATGACAAACGCCCACAGACAACGACCACCCACGAGCGCACACAGATGACAACGAGCCCCCCATGCACGACGGCCCCCCATGCATGACGATGCCCCATGCACGGACGACGATGCCCACGAACGGACAACGATGCCCACACACGACGACGATGCCCACGCATGGACGACGACGACGACCCCCCACCCACGAACGACGAGCGCCCGCGGACAACGAGCGCCCACGGACAGACACGACCCCCCCAGCACTGCCGACGAACGGCAAACAAGGCTGCCACCGACGAGCGGCAATGAGTGCCCACCCCCAGTATGTCCCCCCTCCATTTCTATCCTTCCTTCCTGTCTGTCCCCTCCCTATCTGTCTGTCCTTCCTCCCTCTCTGTCCCCCCCTATCTGTCCTTCCTCCCTATCTGTCCCCCCTCCCTATCTGTCCTTCCTCCCTCTCTGTCCCCCCTCCCTGTCTGTCCCCATTTCTGTCTGTCCCCCCTTCCTGTTTGTCCCTCCTTCCCCCCTCCCTTTAGTATACTTGTAAAGTAATTTTCATGTCATTTAAAATAGAATAAAATTCGTACTATGTATTGATATCTGAATGCTTTAAGGATGGAAATAGAGTTAAGTTCATTAGGGAAGTTAGAGGAAGTGTTTAAACATGTCACAGATGGTTAAATGTCATGTAGTCCTCAGGAATCCTGAGGACTTGACAGAATTTTTCTCCTAAAACTCAAATTTGCCAAAATTATGGTGTAGTCCTGCAGGAATCCTCAGGAATCCTGAGAGTCCTGCAGGAATCAGTGGGGGACTGATAAGTACTGACCCACACTCATGGCAGAGGTCAAAAGGTACCCATAACAACACCTGTCATGTCATTAGTTAGGGCCTATTCAGTAACTGAGTTGTTCCTAACCAAACCTAGGTTTGGTCAGGTTTAGACCCCAAAAAAGGAAACATGTAATTTACATCCTAAATCAGCCAAAATGTTGTTCGGGAACCTGTGGATTAGGAGATTTAGGTTACGTTCCCTTGTCATGCAGCGTTGGTAGCACATTGTTTCGTTCTTCACTAGTATTTCCTTGCCACGCTCTCAATATCTCTTTAATCTTGCTTTGATCATGCCCTGAAAGAAGGCTGATAAGGAGAATAACAACCCCTCGACCCCTCGCAGCCTTTGGAACATGTTGTGTGATGGTATTTTGGTGGACTGCTTGGTTGAGCAAAGAAAAAAGGGCAAGATACCCAGCAACGGCTCCTGGGGCGACAGTGTCTGGAAGACATGTGCCAACGCCCTCAAGGATTCTCATGTCTGCTCGGGTGGTGCACAAAAGACAGGTGACAGTTGCCATACTAGGTGGACTGCCATATGCACCAGTTCTTTTCATCTTGGTGTGCTTCAAACTCTAATCATTTTCTTTTTTTAGATCAAGAAGGATTACCAGGCTGTCCATACACTGTGGGGGCTGTCAGGCTTTGGATGGGATGACACTGCTCAGATCGTTACTGCACCTGACAGTGTCTGGGAGGATCTATTGAAGGTATGTAACCACAGCACTTTCCTTGCAAAGTCTAATATAAATCTTGTCCTCAGACATGTCCAAAGCTCAAGAAATGGCGGAAAACACCATTCCCATTGTATGATACTGTGCACAGCCTCATCTACGGCACATTTGCGACAGGCAATGGCGCATTCCATGCTGGACACAATCACACACCCACTCCTCCAGCGTCACCTCACTCCAATGTTGATAGTCACAAGGAAGATGAATCCTTCATTGATCCCATCTTACAGTCATCGCAAGACATCAAAGCAACACAGGCTCAGTCATCCCAGGTATGTTCTTTGCCTTTCATGCATTAATATCTCCTGAATACTGTTGAAGGGCTCTACTATCTGTAGTTCTAACTTGGGTGAAGAGTCATTTCCTTTATCTGTGACACCTTTGACCCCACTCCCTTCAAATGGGTGCAAGCATTCTGCTGATGACACTTTTGAGGAATGAGCTTTGACAAAACACCTCAAACCATCTCGAAAAACCTCAAGTGGCCAGGCTATTGCCCAGGTAGCTTCATCAGTTTTAGCCTTGGCTAGTGCATTTGGCTCTTCAGGTGCATCAACTTCTCCAGAGCGGAAACGATCAGCTATTCAGCTCCTTGATGACGACAGTGATCTGTCAGACACAGAGCACATCAAGGCAATGAAGCTCATTCGTTGTGATACCAGTGTTGCAGATGTTCTTCTCGCTGTTGGCTCCAAGGAGCGGAGGATGCAGTACATCCAGAGTAAGCTGGAAGATCTCTGATTGCCACTTTTTTATCTCAAGATCAATCTTTTAGGTCCAACACCATTCACAGTCATTCTCTAAAACTTCTTTATGTCCAACTCAACACCCTCATTTTTTTCTATGTCCAACTTCATACACTCAATTGCATGGATACCCTTATAATTCTTGTACATATTATAATTCACCTCTGCATTGTTGTTCCTCTAAATAGTTCTCCCACATAGCCATAGCAATAGCATCCCATCTTTCAGTTGCCTGATCCTTCTCTTCCTCAGAAATATGCTGCCCAACATCCTCTGGGTGCAGTGGTTTGTCAGGCCGGGCATGTGAGTATTCCTCTGCATCGGAATCATAGTCCTCATCTTCATGTGCATCATCATTAGGATCATGAATGCAAATATAATTGTGTATGGCACCCAATGCTGGTGGGATTTTGGCCTGTGTGCAGAGGGAATATTCAGGAGAAGCCACCATTGATCGAAATCATTGTTTGCAAACACCAAAAATTCGTTCAATCACATTTCACAGCTGGGCATGACAAAGGTTAAAGAGTTCTTGGTGGTTTACAGGCCTATAGATTCATAATTAGAAAATTTGGAATTTAACTCAAGATTCACAGACCATAATTTAGCCTTCTCCCACTCCTTGAGATGATATCGGACTCTGTGATAAGGCACCAGCAAAGCATCACAGTTGGGAAAACCAGCATCCCCAAGATAGTATGATCCAGGTGGAATAGCAAAATCAGTTCTTCATGCTTCATCAAAAACTCTACCATCAGTTGCACTTCCTCCCATCCTGAAAGGAGATAGCAAAAGAGGAGATTGAACTGACATGCAGCAAGGAGGTTGGTGGATATCTGGCCTTTATGGCTGCAATAGCGTGCCATGTCAACACTTGACACGAAAGCATCAAGCAGGGATCCATCCACAGCACCAAGACACTCTTTGAAGTAAGGGAAAAATTTGGGATTATTTCAGATTTCGGGTGGGACAATATCTGCTGGTGGAAGGTGAACATATTTATTATAAAATGGCTTGCCGACGATGAGATTTAGGATATGGTGGAATGCTCTATAGTGGTGCTTCAATAAGATACATAGTAAATGCTCAATCCACTCACTTTGAGATAGCCTCTCCACTTTGCTGAAAGTGCTCTTGAAGCTCAGCATTTCCCTGTCCCGTATGTGCAAGCTGTAGAAAAATGGCTAATTGTTCTTCTGAGGACACGTAGTGAGTGGGGCCTAGGCCAGCCTCTTCCAATTCACAAAGAAGCTTTCGGAAGACAAAGCACTGCATTCCAAATTGTCTGCAAAAGCAATCTGGATGACCTAATGTATACCAAAGTATTCAGCATAAATCCCAATTTGATTGATATATTCAAAGGATTCCAAATACCTTTCAATAATTCATTCACCCACATTTGCCCAGTGAGTGCAGAAGTGTGCATGGGTTTCTTGTCAAGGTATGGGGAAACCTCTGCAAGAATTGTTGCAATACTTGAGATCACTGCAGTAACACAGGCTGCCTTTCTGTGCTTTTCTTCCTGAATTTGGTGAGGAGAAGCATGTGATTTAGATGAGGATGATGTTGGCTGAATAGTTACCATGATTAGTGTAGAGTGTCAGTGTTGAGCAGGCAAATGCTGAGACAATACAATCTACAGCTAACAAGGTATTGATAGACCAGAATTCAAAATGCTCCGCTTAGTGACTTTGTTTACTTGTGGAGTCTCAGGGTATGTGCAAACAACCTAACCAGGAATTTATCACTATATACGCAACAGCGGGAAGGGGCGGGAAGGCAATGCCTGCCAATTGGCTGTGGGAAGTTGTTTGGCCAGCTCCAAAAGTAAATAAAGTCACTGAGCAGAGTGTTTGGAGTTCTGGTCTATCAATACCTCGTTAGCTGTAATCCAATCTACAGTGACATTGTGTTACAGAATGCGACAATTCAGACAAACCTGTGATGTCGAGTTGTTCCTTCCAAGCCAAACCTACCCTCATCAAACCCAGGTTTGATTAGAACTCAGTTACCGAATAGGCCCTTAGTATTTGTTTGAACTTTGTGCAGCTCACAGTCTGGCAATAAGATCAAGAATGTTATCTACACTAACTCTACAAAATGATTGTCCAGTCATTTTTTGGACAAAGCTGGTGTTATAACACAAGAATAAAACACTTTGAGTACTAAGCTCTGGTCTATCAAATATAGCTAAGGAGGTGTAGATTGTACATACCAAATTTGGGGATGAACAAATGAAAACTCAGGATAAGGCAGGGCATTGACTGTGACACCTCCCAAAAATGGGATGTAACAAAATGGGAAATTCTGAATGACTGCAACCTACTGAAAGCAATTCACAACTTGAGGAGGAGATATTTTGAACAATGGATCTCCCTGCTATTGTTATGAGTTTCATAAAGTCTGTGGGTTAGAAAATTTGATAATCTCCTCTAAAAGGTAAATTGAACTTGTTCTCCATTTTATGTATTTTTCACTCAATATATTTGTTGGAATGAGGTAAAATAACTCCCTATTGATGTTTGTAGTGTGTATAGTACAAAAGGTAAGTAGGAGTGTTAAAATGAACATTGCATGATGTCTGTAGAAGCTAATCCCCAGAGTTTTTCTGGAAGTAAACAAGTATCTACAACATTGGTCCTTCTTTTCTGCAAGAAGAAAAAATGCTACCATCCTTTTGAATTGATCCATGGAGACTCAGGATGTCTTTTAAACAATGCCTGAAGTATAGCATGATAGAAAATAAATTTACACTGGGTATAACTTGATAAGTCCTCAATAAAAGTACATTTTGCATAGAGCAAGAAAGGTGTGGGGTCTCAGATCCTTGTATAAATAGGACTTCTGTTTATTTCTTTGGGATAGTGTTACTAGGCATGAGAAGTGCCTTGTGAAACATTTTAAGCCCCAATTCACCAAGAAAAATGTCAAGGATTGGTCCAGGATGATTGCCCTATGCAAGATGTACTTTGATTGGGGACTTTTCAAGTGATACCCAGTGTAAATTTATTTTCTATCATGCTATACTTCAGGCATTGTTTAAAAGACATCCTGAGTCTCCATGGATCAATTCAAAAGGATGGTAGCATTTTTTCTTCTTGCAGAAAAGAAGGACCAATGTTGTAGATACTTGTTTACTTCCAGAAAAACTCTGGGGATTAGCTTCTACAGACATCATGCAATGTTCATTTTAACACTCCTACTTACCTTTTGTACTATACACACTACAAACATCAATAGGGAGTTATTTTACCTCATTCCAACAAATATATTGAGTGAAAAATACATAAAATGGAGAACAAGTTCAATTTACCTTTTAGAGGAGATTATCAAATTTTCTAACCCACAGACTTTATGAAACTCATAACAATAGCAGGGAGATCCATTGTTCAAAATATCTCCTCCTCAAGTTGTGAATTGCTTTCAGCAGGTTGCAGTCATTCAGAATTTCCCATTTTGTTACATCCCATTTTTGGGAGGTGTCACAGTCAATGCCCTGCCTTATCCTGAGTTTTCATTTGTTCATCCCCAAATTTGGTATGTACAATCTACACCTCCTTAGCTATATTTGATAGACCAGAGGTTAGTACTCAAAGTGCTTGATTCTTGTGTTATAACACCAGCTTTGTCCAAAAAATGACTGGACAATCATTTTGTAGAGTCAGTGTAAGTTACACATAAAAGATACCTGAAAATCTGCCAGATAATATGTAAAGTAGTTTATTGTCCCCATGTCACTACCAGTTCATTTGTTCAGTCATTGTTTGTTTGTGCAGCTCACAGTCTCACAATCACTGGGGGCATTGGCCTATTTATTCATGGAAGATATTGAGAATAAATCAGAGATAAACTAATAAATTGTTCAGGGACAACATCAGCAAGGATATGAAGAAGAAATTAAAAGATTTCTTCTTCAATAACATCAGCATTTGACCACGGCATCAATTATGAATATAATAAAAATATCTACAGGGTTTGATCGATGATGTTATGAAGAAGATACTGTGACATGTCATGCCTTCCACGTGCCTTGCAAGCCTCCAAGCACTCTTGTTTTACTCTTCTGCCACTAGCAATCAGCAAAGACATTGTTCCTGAAGAATGGCGGCCAACGAGGCGTCCTTCAAGGATATACCAGAGATATACGAGGTTGGGGGAACCTTTTGACGTACCAAACACCAGCTCATTATGTTTTGAACAGGTTGAACTTGGGGAGGCACTCACCTCTTGAACGGAGGTGCTATGTGTGTTGTTTGTAGTTGCACACTTGTCCAATTCTAACGCACAATTTCTAGCTATGTTTCGTGAGCTTGGACCCCCGGGTCTATGTCACATTGTCAAAACAACCAGTTGCAATGGCCAGCGCGATGTTGGTGGGCTTTTACACAACAGTTGAATCGAGATCTGACATTCATCCAGCTTGGTTCATACCACTACATATCTGGAGTTGACACTTCTTCATCTGCATCCCTTGCCACATACATCAACTCCTGACATATGCTATTGAAGAGAACGTGGCATGGTTTTCAAAAACCCCAACTTGGAAGGTAAAAAATGGGTGTTACTGGTATGTGGTGATATCGTTCACCTATCCCCTTGTTGTGAACCCTCTATATACAGTTGCTTCAATGCTTTCTCTTGTGTGGACATGCATGTCGATGTGAAGATACCTGGTGGGGTGAATGCATATGTGATTGATCTGCGTGGCGAACGGTGCGTAAAACTTAGCTCCAAAAGCTTCATACAGGTTCAAACCCCTTTAGACATGAAGCAACACCCGAAATCTGGCAGGAAACATATGTCTCGGCGCTGCTATGCGCGATTCTGTATTTGGATGACCCAACTTATTGGCTGGAGGCATACCGCAAACTAGACCCTCTCATGTCACCTGAAGGCGAACTCCGATTCCTGCAAGCTGCAGAGAGTCTTTTCACCAAGGGTTTGTTCTGAAAATCGAGCTGATAACGTTCTTCGGGCTCACTGTTGTCTAGGATGGCAGATTGGGTCTGACCCCGAAATTCAAGTTGCAACCGTTGCTTCAAATCATCTGACTGCGGGAATCATGAAGTACTTCAGGGACAGCAGGCGGTATCAACAAGCTGCGAACCTTTCTGAAAAACTCGCAGTGCATGAACCCGAAGTCTCTTCCCTCCTGGCCAAGATCTACATCGGCATGAGTGCGTAAATGTTTTGCATCCTCTCTCTACCCTTACCACGTATGTCCTAGATGAGGAAGTTAAGGCTGTGCAAATTATCTCTGCAGCGATGAGGCAAACACTGCAATCATATACTCTCCTCCATGCTCAGTGCGACTTCTTGAGGTTGAAAGGCAAACATGAATGGGCCCTCAAGTTGGCATGACAGGCAGTCAACTGTGCTCCGAGCAAATTTGTCACCTGGGAAAAGCTTACAGATCTCTACAATGACCTTGGCCAGTATGAATTGGCGCTGTTAACGCTCAATTTGTGCCCAATGTTTATCTTCAATGTTCATGATGCGCACCATATTCTTCCAGCCTCGAGGATCCACTTACCTTTCCATCGACCTATTGGAGACATCTTACCTGACAAACAGAAGACTGAGGACGACGAGGTGTGTCTTCCATCATCCTCAACAGGTTATTCCTTGAGTTAACTTTCCACAGGCAGACCCAGCCCTCCAGCACCTACCAGCTCCCGGCCTCAGAGGGACCTGAGCAAGAGCTTACGTGTTGCTCACACGGCTGGTATCTCAAATTGGGTGGGATGAGCTGCTCAAGACCCGGAGCTGTGTATTCATTATGGAGGAGGAGTATCACATGCAGAAGGCACAAGGAGACATTCAGCAAGCTGCGGCTACCACCAACGGCCATGTGCCTGATGATATGACCTTGGAAGGGGATCTGGGCCAGGTTGTCATCCATGAGGATCGGACAGTGGGCAGGCTATCATGTCCGCACCTAGTGCTGAATTGGTGGCACATTCGCTGATACCTACCATCAGGGTTTCGGCTGATGGTGATGATGATTCTGATGATGAGGAGGAGGAAGAAGGGGACGCGAAAGGGAAGGGGAAAGCAGATGAGTCCGGGGATGCTGATGACAAAGGTGACAAGCCAGATGGTGGGGAAGAGGAGGAGGCAAAGAAGGGAGTGGATGATCAGGATTTGAGGGTTTGGACGATCTTCTGTGCTGAAGTTGCTCACTTCAAGACTCAGCACGTTGCCTACCACAAGACCGGCCTTGAATGGGAGATCTTGGGTGATTTGGGAATGTGCTTGCATCATAAAGAGGAGGCAAAGGAGGCCTACCAGCCATGCCTCGACTCACTGCGATACTCTCAGAAGCTATGGGTGAAATTGATGGAGATGTACGCTGAAGAAGGCGATATTCAGTGTTTGATCCAAACTGCCATTTGTGTCGCGGCTTATCGGTATGCAGTATACTGAGATGACAGTACAATCCTATCACTTTCCCTCCTTTAAATTTTGGGCTAATTGAGATGTGATATGATTAGTATCCTACTCAGATCGTGCAAAGCTTCTTCAAGCTTGGGCAGATACATGGACATGCCAAAATTTCATTCACGTTGCTGAGTATGGGATTGCCAGACCCGATTCTTAAAATTTATGGATAGCTATCTTCAGTATGGGAAGACATTCAAAGTTGAGGGGTAATCTTAACACTATTCCTTACATTGGATGCCTTCCTCGGGCAGAAATTCCCCAGCCTCTATTATCTATCTTGTCCAGTTCAGAGACAGTCTCTCAACAGGTCTCTCACATTTGGCATGTCTTCATTCCAAACAGTGTCAATAGCAACACTTATGGCTGTCATTTCAAGCATCTCCTTTGGATCGAGGAGCTCAAAATGGAGTGAGTCTTCTGAACTTCCACTAGTCGTTTTCTGACATGTTCTGATAGACATGATTTGGCACGATATGATATGCATAATGTCACTCTGTTGAGACATAACTCATTTTACTAGTACGTGACATGTCTTTTGAGTCAACCAGTGGCCAACATCTTTCCTTTGGCCTTTAAGTACCCAGCTTGGCTGAAAAGCGCCCCAGTGTCCTTGTCAGTATGCCCACATTTCTTTCCGCTCACTCGTGCTGGTACTCACTACATCATAGGTGACCAAATTCTCGTCCAAAAGGTTGGTGCACCTGAAGGACATTGGTACCAAGGATGAGTGCACGTCATGCGTCAAGCAGAAGTTGGACTGCACTTTCATGAATCTTTCGGAGCGTCAAGCACTATGCAGCCATTTAACATCCGGTTCAAGTTGAATAGAATTCCTGTGAAACGGCAGCACCAGGCTGTGGATACTGTGTTCACACAAGTTCATGTTTTGTTCCCCTTGGCCGCACATCTACTGAGCTTTAATATGATGGGAATTCAGCTGATCAAGGTCTTCAATTCGTTGATTCAGAGTAACCAGTCGCAGTTGCTGGCTGTCAAGTCCATTGTGAACCAAACTCCTGGATCACCCCCCTTTGTTGTTTTTGGACTGTATGTCCCATACTTCCCTTCATTTGATCACTGTCTTTATTTACTTACCTCCTCGCCACAGACCTGGTACCAGCAAAACCATCACAATCGTCGAAGCAATCCTTCAACTCCTTCGCAGCAACCCCCAAGCCCGGATCCTCGCTTGCGCACCAAGCAACTCTGCAGCCAACCTGATAGCTGAACGCCTCTCCGCCGGCCTCAACACAGACCAACTTTTCTGACTTGTTGCACCCACACGGTCTTCAAACCAAGTCCTGATGTAGTCAAGCCGTACACATACACCAAACTGGATGGGCACTTCTCCGTGCCTATCATGCCCAAGATGAAGGCCTTCAAATTTGTCGTGTCCACCTGCATCTCCACGTCCATCGTTTCAGGCATTGGAATGGCCCGTGGGCATTTCACCCACATCTTTATAGATGAGGCTGGGCAGGCCATGGAACCAGAAGCGTTCGTGAGCATCAAGATGATGGTGGACAATGACACAAATGTTGTTCTATCAGGTGATCCAAAGCAGCTGGGACCAATTATTAGGTGGGGTGTTGCAAGGGAGTTGGGGTTGGAGGTGACCTACCTTGAGAGGCTGATGGGGAGGGAGGTGTATAGCGTTGAAGGGGGGAAATGCCAGTGGGAGAACGTGAGTGTAATGAGATTGGAATCTTGGAAAAGGCTAACGTTGCTCAAGGGTTGTGAAACTGGTGAAGAACTCAGACCATCCTTGCCTCGAGACTATAGGGAGTATTGAGCACCTCCAGGCCGTTATGCCTGCAGCAATTGGCGGAGATCTAGTCAAACTCGTTCACCTCTCCAATGCCTTCTGTAAGGTTTCTCTATTGCATTTCCAACAGTACAGTCATTCACCAGTCAATGAGGCACCCAAATAAAGAATGGCCTTGGAAAGTTTAAATATGAGTGATATGAACATTATGAACTGAGAGAAGTATGCACATACAGTTGAGTGCAAAAAGAATGAAGGTTGGTTCATTTTTCTGGTTCTTTCTAAGAATCTATTGTACCTCAAATGTATTTGTGTATTCTTTTACATTATGTAGTTGTGTTACACTTCCCTTGGTATGGACTAATTTCAGTGAAAGCTGGGGCCTTGAGAAGGTTTTTATTCTGGAGGCCATTTTTGGCATCTGAAAAAAAAAATATGCACTAACTGGGGAGGTAGCCAGAACATACCTCTGGTCAACCTGAATGAGCCTATCAAAGAATTAGTTAAAAATACTGAGCAGTTATGCTTGTAGAGCCTCCAGAAAATGGTCATTTTGTGCTATTTTAGTCATTTTTGGCCTGTTTTAGACAAAACAAGCCATTTTCCAAAGCCTCTACAGACCTAACTGCTCAGTATTTTTGACTGATTCTTTGATAGGCTCATTCAGGTTGACCAGAGGTATGTTCTGGCTACCTCCCCAGTTAGCACATATTTTTTTTTTCAGATGCCAAAAATGGCCTCCAGAATAAAAACCTTCTCAAGGCTCCAGCTTTCACTGAAATTAGTCCATACCAAGGGAAGTGTAACACAACTACATAATGTAAAAGAATACACAAATACATTTGAGGTACAATAGATTCTTAGAAAGAACCAGAAAAATGAACCAACCTTCATTCTTTTTGCACTCAACTGTACATCATGCCCTATGTAATATCTAGTTACAAACTCAAATTCAAGTTGTTGAACAACATATCACATGCTATCAGTGCCGCGAATGAAGATCAGTGCGAAACCAGTCAATGAGGCAGATGTCACGCTGCCCTAATTTGGGCATTTTGCTTAGTCACTTCAGTTTCCCATCTCTTTGTCAGATGTCTGTGGCAAGTGTGACAGAATGTGACCTTCCCTACCTTCAAGTATGATTTCATTCATTCAGTGGTTTTTGGTTCACTGGAGTACCACCTCAACTCAAAACTCTTGTAATTGAATACTTGTTGAATGCTTTAAGATATATATATTTTTTTAAAAGGCTCTTTTCCAAGATTTAGTGCCAAGATCACACAGATATATATTCAGTTTTATGGTGAATGAGCACCTATTTGCAGGTATCAAGAGATCGAAATGTGCTACACCTTAGAAACTTGGGATTACTATAAAGAATATATATGCGCACACAATGCAAAAAAAATTAAAGAAATAGCTTGAGAACTGACCCCGGGAAAGTGTTTTGACTCATTGACTAGTGTGACTCATTGACTGGTGAATGACTGTATTTATGGCGTCAACAGTATCGTCTGGGCGGGCAATGTTGACATAGTAATCCCAGTTTGGTGTGACATTGGTTCGTCTTTCTTTACCAGTACTGCTGCGTTTAACTCTAACTTTCTTTTTAGTCAGTAAGCTTCAGATTGGGGCGATGATGGCACTTCCAACTGCCTGTCTCTGCCTAGGCCTCTGCATGCATCTCGAGCGCATCACATCAATACGACAGGTGAACACGAGCCTGCAACAAAAACACTGGTGTATGCTCTTAGATGCCCTAATGTGTATCCCAGTGGTCCATATGGCACTGCATGCGTCATCATTTTGATGTGATACTCATCTAACCCTTTGGGCAGATTACATTGTTCAAGGCCATCATCTCAATATTGTCGAAGACCTTGGCTGTAACCCTGCCATTTACAACTCCCTTAAATCCATCTTCCTTGTTTCAGTACCGCCGCTCATAGCCATAGTTCTTATTTTTGTCTTTGCTGGTAAGCGCATTTACACTTACGCTGCCACTCACTGTATCGATTGATTCTCTTCTCAAGGTCTTGCACTCTATCACTTTTTTCAACGTTGTTTGACGTTCAACCGTCATCTCCAAGGGTCCAATTCCATGTTGACAGCTTCTTGTTGTTTCCGTCTGATGGCCATGGCCATTGTGCAGATGTTCTGGGGTGCCGTGGTCATAGGTTTCAATATGCAGTTTACGTGCTGGCAGGGTCTGCGTCCTTGGACATGCTGGGCCGACGTGCACTACAATTTCTCACCTGTAGGCCTTTTCCCAACACTCCTATTCCCATCCAAGGTGCTGTGCTGGACGTACTTTGCATGGTGGACCATTCCTCCTATCTCATCTGGCTTATTCTTTGTCTTCTTTGCTTTCGGCCAAGATGCTGTGAAGGAGTATGGTGCCTGCTTTGCTTGGGTCTGCTCTAAGATTTTCATACATCCTGAGGATGAAAGGTGTCCTTTGGTCTTCGTCCCGCTTTATGGTTTTTATTATTTTGGCCTTGTTACCAATGGCTTGGAACTTATTCCCTTCATAGTACTCCTATCACACATGGTGCCCATGATCAGAATTTAAATTAGAAGCAGAAGGGCATTTATACAACCATCCTCAGACAATCTTCACGGTCTCCTGAGAAAAGAACACCTGGATCTGGAAGTCGCAGGGAAGAGGAACAGAATGACGTGTCCACCTCAACTTTGAACGTCTGAGCACAGAAACGACGTCGACCCCAGCATCCCCAGACCTCACAAAGAACCCATCCAACCCGATAGGAATAGTCGCCTCAATAGCTGTAGCTACCATACTCTCCAATGTTTCCAAATAAAGAAGGATGGTGCAAAGAGAGAGGAGCTGGGCCAGTTGTTGTGTCAATAACCCTCCGAGTAGGATTGGGATTGGGAGATTGAAAGGATGGCTTGGAGGATGTGTTTGACTATTTCCAAAATGGAGGGGGAGGCCATGCCATTGATGGAGGATGCGAATGTGTTGAGCAAGCTAAAGAGCTCCTCTGGGTTGATGTGTTGAACCCACAGTAGTGCGAATTGGACCTTAAATGGAATGTCAGAAATAAGAAATGGTGGGTGTCAAGAGGACTCATGGAGAATGATGAATCACTGTCAAGAAGAGTGAGTTGGAGCTTGTCCATCCAATGATGTCCAATGTCTGAGACCAGCAGCCTATCGGTTGCCAATGTTGCAACCAGTGAAGCCTCCCGAAGCTGTTTGGTTCCTGTAAAGCCATCAGAGAAGCCTTGAACAACAGACTGAAAAAGCACACCTTGTGCGGAAGCCGCAGCCATGAACATCTCCTTCAAAACACCCTGATGCTCGAAAACCATTGCTTTAAGGGACATAAAGCCCCCTGGGCTAGTGTTTGAAAGTCCGGTTCAGTCCGGTTTTTTGATGCCCAGGGGCATTAACCGGTCTGCCTTTTCCCCAGAAGTCAAAAGACCAGACCGGACCGCAAAAAACCGTGGTCTGCGGTCTTTTTGCGGTCTATAGACCAGTTTCGGTCTGCATCGGTTTTAACCGGTTTATAACCGGTCTTTAGGCTAATATTTTAAAATTATGAATCGGTAAATTTATTAACATCTCTATTAGCTTCAAAACGAGCCCAAGAACGTCAAATTCCGTTAGGAATTGGTGCTTCTATAAAATAAGTCTGGTACATCTATTATTCCCAAAAGTAATTTACATTTTAATTCATATCTCTCTCGTTTTTTTACCAAGTCGTACGTTCTTGGGTGCGTTTTAAAGGGTATTTAAGGGGCTACAAAAGACCGGTTCACGTTTACCGGTTTTTTTGCGGTCTTTACATCTCAAAAATAAAAGACTGTAACCGCAGGTCTGGTCTTTTGCGGTCTTGGTCCAGTCTGGTTACGGTCTTTTTCCAGTCACAAGACCGGACTTCCAAACACTACCCTGGGCTCAGAACAGCCTTCGACTTCTTCACGATCTGAGCTAGAACCAGCAAAAACCCTGTTACTGCACCTTCACTCTTACTCTGCTGCTGGACAGGCAACCAGCACATGATGAGGCGCACAACTCTTACTATATTGACCAAAGACAGGGTTTGTGTGAACATGGAGTCAAAGAGAATGACACAACATTTCTCATCCATAATTTCATCTTCTCTCGCGTGTAAGAAAAGCCATGTGAGGTCCAAACTGTGGGAGTGGTAAGGTTTTTGAAAGAAGAGAATGGAAATAACATACTGGGCCTGAAAATCCGATACAACCTCGAGACTCGAGTCCATCCCAGATTTTGGACTGTTCAGGATCCAGATGCTCCACCAGATCTCGGATTGCAGGTGCATGAAATTTAGAGATTTGACTTGCTAGCAGCCTTACTTGGGAGGGACTCAATGGGCTGGGGCAAGTGTCTAACCTGTCTGGGATCTCTCCAGGTGTTGCAGTGAAAAGAGCGTACATGTCCTCAATGTAGCAACACGGCGTCTTCAGGCACCACTGGACACACTCATCAAGAAACCTAATAACCACCTCGCCTTCATCCTTGAGAGGCGTACCGTCGGTCGACTCGGCACCTGGCGACCGGCATGTGTGGTATGCAAGAAAGCCAGAGGGAAGGTTTGGAAGTGTCAGATTGGAAAAGGATGCTTTGTGAGAGGAGGTGCTGTAGGAGGGGGGAAAGTGTGTTGCGGAGGAGGGGGGTTGTGAGGGTAGTGAGGGATTTGATGAGGATGTAGAGATTTGTGTGAGGTGCTGAACCTGAGGTAATTGATTAGGATGTGCAAAGAAAATGAAGAAGGCAGGATGTACCTGCTTTACCAGCCCACACAAACTGATTGCTCTCTTTCAAGATCTTGAAAACATGTAGTTGCTGAACACGATGAAGTCGCACGGCTGCCCTGGTTCTTCATCTTCATCTTTCACTTCCTCTCCCTCCACCTCCATCCCATCCTCCTTCTCCATCTCCACCTTCTCATCAATACTCCGCACAGAATAATTCAACAACAACTTGCCAACATCGAACCTCGCCTCTGCAACAACAGAAGGCAAACACTGATGAGACATCCACAACAACCTCTGTGTGCTCTCCGCCAACAACACTCCTCTCACCTGATTCCCTTTCCCCTTCCCCTGCTGCGCAAGCCCTACGACAACTCCCACCTCCGAAACCTGCCTCCTAACCTCCCTCTCCATCTCCCTCCATCGTCTCACCCACTGCCCTTCCTCTGGATCCTCCTTAAGTGCCTCGTGTGGCTCTTCAAACACCCTGTTACACCCGCAAAACACTCTTGTATTTCTTAAGACATTTTGCTAGTGCTAAAGCTGTACCAGCCCTGAAGGAGATTGGGCCTTTGGAGAAGTGAGATTTGGTGTTTATGGAGGAGGGCAACATGTTCTCAAGAATGGTGGTTAGGGGAGGTGGGGTGGGGTTGTATTGAGGTGTGTTGGGGAGGAAGAGGCAGGAGGTGGGTACAGGCAATGAAATGACCACACCAAAAAACACAATGTTCATTATCCACTTTGAGGAAAGCCTTGGCTCAAGTGTGTTTTCACGCAAATAAGAGGGGGTTAAACAGACCTGGCTTAATCAGTGGGTCTGGGTTTCAGATCATTCTTCGTTTTGTGTCACATGTTCAGAAGTTTTGGTAGTGACTGAAGGCATGTTAGCGTTGATTTCTGAGCTAAAAGAGTTGCTCTTGGAGGACTTCAGCTCCAAGGGGTGGGGGATGAAGCCTGGTAGGGATTCGTTGAGAGGGAGTGGGTGACCAGATGGTTTGGCAGAACTGAAGGTATGCAGCGTAAGTACACAATGTGAAACGTGAGCAAGAAAAAGTGGTGCTAACCCAGGATAAAGTTTGCCCCCGAATGAAGATGGAGGTGGGGTAACACTGAATCGTTTAGCAATAGCCTAGTACGCCAAACAGTAATGCTTGTGGGCTTCATCCACAAAGCCAAAGAAGCCAAAGAAAAGCAGTGCACAGAAGACCACAGACCATCTGCTAAGTGCCAGGGTGATGGAAAGCGTCGGATTCGACCTCACGCTCCAGAGGATAGATGGGAATGTGCCGATGGTGAACCACTCAAAATGGATATCAGATCAACTTTTCTATGGGTAGATATGTCGGCTGGTGATGTTGAGATAGAGACCATAGGTATTGATGGGGAGATTAAAGATAAATTCGAGGGTCGCAAGGGACATCAGTTGGAAATAACAGTTCATGGTGAGAGATGTCGTGGAAGAAACAAATTGTGCGAATTGGGCACAGTGGAGCATGAAAGCTCATAGTGTAAGAACTAAAAAGAGGCTTTTAGCAATCAATGAGAGGACTTTCAATGTGGTGACGATGTCTAGGGGGCTGTTGGCTGAGACATTCGCAAGGGACAGTCACAAATTTAAACTTACATGAACCCAGTGTGATTTAAGAACTAGAGAGCCCCTAGTGAAGAAGAGACTCCCAATGAATGGCAGAAGAGTAAAACAAGAGTGCTTGGAGTCAGGCTCACAAGGCACGTGGAAGGCATGACATGTCACAATATCTTCTTCATAACATCATCGATCAAACCCTGTAGATATTTTTATTATATTCACAATTGATGCCGTGGTCAAATGCTGATGTTATTGAAGAAGAAATTTAAAATTTTCTTCTTGATATCCTTGCTGATGTTGTCCCTGAACAATTTATTAGTTTATCTCTGATTTATTCTCAATATCTTCTGTGAATAAATAGGCCAATGCCCCCAGTGAATAAGGTCAAGAATACTATTGTTACCCCCTCCTTTGGTTCAAGGTTAGACCCCTCATTCCGTTTCTGCCCCAAATTCCTTGAATTTCTTTTGGAAGCACACTCTAGTTATGTCTATTTACATGGTCTGTGGTTCTTTCCCTACAGAAAATGATGCAGAGGAGATGTAGAAGAGATGGACCATGTCATGCTCTACCAAGGAATCACTGTTCAGACTTTGATGTATAAACACACAAACATGCTCCAGGGTAATGATAGTATACACATTGCCATCAAGATACATGTAAAACATACATGGAACCTCTTCGTTACCATCATCATCACTCTCTCTTTTCCTGTATCCTCTCCATACTTAGACCTTCAGAGTCATACACTCAGGAGTCAGTATATCTTTGTCTTGGTGCCTTTTCCCCTTTGAGTTTCCTTTTAGTGTTATCTATCTGCCAAAGTGACTCAAGTCAGTTCTCAGGTGATTTCAAGCTACCTAAGCCCCATATGTAATTTGTAGTTTTCCTGATGCAGGGTTTTCAAATGCCCTCTGAATCTGATGCATTCCTGAGCTAAAAAGAGAGTCTGGGTGTCTTTGAAGTTCTTGAGTTTATAACTTCAAATGACTAGCTTGCAACTACTTACAGTCCCATTTTTTAAAGAGCTCAGGGGGGATGTTATGAAGAGTACTGCATTGGGTTTTGTAGAGACAAAGGCCGGACCCCGACATGTTCAGGCAAGTCACCCAGTATCACTTCATAAAAATTTTGTGTTCACATTTGGTTCCCACCTATTCAAATACAGTGCTCCCTGTGTGAAAGTCCGGCAGGAAAGCACCATTCGTTTTTCCATTCGCTAGCAGCCATTTCCCAGTCCGTCATCACATAAGTCTCTTCATCAGATGTGCAAATGACTTGATCAACACAGTAGAGTTATGTACAATCGTCACGGCGACAAGACATAAGAGGAGATAGCTGCAATTACCTAAGAAAGAAACCAAGAGAACTTCCAGAACATACAGAACCAAAGACGAAAAAGCCAGTCCGAAGCAGCGAGCAACAGGGCATCGATAACAAGAACGAACCAGCTACTTGCGCTTCTTCTGGCGAGTCTTGGCAGGCCCATCGGAGGCCTTCTTCTGAACAGCTGGGGAAGTCGAAACCGAAACTTCTTCCTGCGGGGACGGGGGGGCAGGCGCCGTAACGACAGCCGGATTCTGAACTCCTGTGGCCCTCTACATTTCAAAAAGGGGGTGAAAAACAGCGGAGGAATATCGGAGCATAGAAACGTGTATACCAATCTTCGTTTTGTCCTCACAGGCTCCTCGACGGTCACAGTAGCTGGCGGTGATACAGAACGACCACGCTTTCTCATGCACCTCCCTGCTGGCGACAAAGGCTCCAGATCGGACAAGTCGCTTAAATCGTTGTCCCTGTTGTCATACTCATAGTCCGAATCGGCGTCCTCAAGGGTCTTGAAGCTCTTCTTCTTCTTTTGCTTAGTCGCCCTGGGCTGAGGTTTCGAGATGGGTGATGGCGGTTTGATCATTTCTTCCTGTTGTTTGGGACTTGGAGCCGGCAAAGAGAGGTGGGCTGGATCTGGTGAAGAGCGCTGCGCTGCGTCGGGAACAGGTTCGATCGTTTGCTCCATTGTATTATCGGCCTATCATGAAAAGAGCCAATAAAGATAAAATCAGAGGAGCGTATTCATGAACACATTACCAAAGCTTGCAATGACTCGTCGATTGGGCTCGAGGGAAGCCACATCCTGAAATTTAACAATGTCTTCGCGTCTGGCCCGGCACTCTTCGCCTTCTCTTTTAGCATCTGCGCTAGTGCTGCCTCCAAAGAATGGATTCGACTATGGAGGCCAGTTGCGAGGTGTTCACGCTGGGAGATCGAGGTCAGTAGGTTTCAACACACATATGATGACACTAACTCTTCGAAGCTCATTATCCTTAGCAACGACGTCCTGTTCGTAACTCGTTTGCGTTTGAAGAATAACATGGTTCACCAGGTCCTTTTCTGCGTCGGTCTACAAAAGTCGAAATCAGGTCTGGATGAGTCCACAAGGAGATGACCTTACCAAGTTCGCATCATGGTACCGACTCAAAAGCGTTTCCGCATGCTTCGTCATTTCGCCCACCCTTGCCTCCAACTCCTCAGCTCGGGCTTTCATGACCTTCATCTGCCCAGACTCCCTCGTCGCCGCAGCCTCGCCATCCTCAGCAATCGCAATCACAGACATCTCCGCCAAAGCCAGCCTACCAGCAAGTTCCTCCCTCGCCGCTCTTGCTTCTTTAGCGTCATTCTCCGCCAGCGTGGCCGCCTTCTCAGCGGCAACGGCGCGTTTTTCTTGCGCCGAAACAAGTCGCTCGTTAGCCTTCTCCTGCCTGTTCAACTTCTTCTCAAAGTCCACTTGAGCAGCTGCCAGCGAGGCGGCGGATTCCCGAGTAAGTTGATTGAAGGAGGCTTTGAGGTTCGCGGTCTCACGCTCAAGCGCGAGTTTCTGCTCATGGGCAACGGCGAGTTCCGTCCTGAGGTTGTGAACGATCTCTTGAACGCCGGCCTGAGGTCGAAGTATATCAACAATCACTGAAGTATCATGAGATACGGCAGACTTCACCTCATTCGCAGTGATCTGGTCCTTGGCTAGCGTTAAAGCAGCGGTCTGCTCATCCAATCTAGTCTGCGTTGTTCATAGTAACGTCAGTAAAGTACGCATGTCGCTAGTGCAATGATTTCATCACCTGGAGTGCGTTGTTGAGGTCATTCGCTGAGACCAGAGCCGTATTTTGTTCATCCAATCGGTTCTGAGAAAACCAATGTCAGTGACGACTAATACACACAAGTACAAGCTATTGTCGACCTCCAACCGACGATTCGCTTGACGAAGCCTGAAGATACGGAAAAAATCAGTTCCAACCATTGCCAACGTCAAAGAAGAGCGACAAACGATTCGATAGTTTATTCGCTTCCTCGCTGGCCTTCTTGGCTTCCGCTGTTACCCGCTTGATTTCAGCTTGAACTAGTTGGGTCGTCCGTACAGCCAGTGCCTCTCTTGTACTAAGATCTTGAATCTGTGCTTGTAACTTAGAATTTAGGCCCTCCCTAGTGTAATGGTTTTCATCAATGGTGAGGATAAAACATGATCAAAAGGTAGCCGTACCATTCGGTACGAGCAACTTCAAGGCTCTCGACCTTTGTCTTGAGGACGTCGCTTTCCTCCTTACGCTCACGAGCCTCGGATTGAGCCAGTGCGAGCCACTCTCTTGTTCTACAAAAACGGCGTTACAAGGGCATAAAGATGCTAAATGGGTGACGTACATCTTCAACGACGTTTCTGCAGAAACGACTTGTGAGGTCAGGTCCACGACCTTTTGTTCAATCAAGCTGTTACTGAACACATAATCGTTAAAGGCATACGAAAGGGTATGTCGCCATCACTTACGAATCCCTATCTCTGAGCTCGCGGTCTTTCTCCGCGACCGCTTTCTTGGCTTCCGCAACCCTGATAGTGTGTGTTGCGTAAGCCCGCCAAACACAGAAAAAGGGGAAACTAACAGTGCTCTTAACTCAGCCTTCGATTCACCGAGAGCCTTGACCTCTGCCTTCAAACCGATAATCTCCTTGTCCTTGTCGTTGATGACTTCTTGAGACGCGAGCAACTTCGAAAGACCCCTGTTCAAAAGCCCGTAAGCGGACGTGAATCCAAAAGGTAGGTGAGTACACTCACTCTTGATGACCCTCAGCTCCTGCAGCTCAAGGAGATTTGCTGATGAGGAAGTTTTCAGATTCTGCAATCTAAAAGGGGAGTTCAAGCGTCCAGGAAAATTCCAACGAAAAGGTAAAACTTACTCATGAGTGACAGCAATGAGCCTTGCCTCTACACCAGCTGCTTCGGCAAGGGCGTCGATACTTTCTCGTTCGTGCTTCGCCAGACGGTCCGTCAGGTCTTCTACCTTGGTCCCTTGAGAAAAGAAAAACATAAGTGTCCATACAAACAAGGGCAGTTGACAGAAATGCTCACCGACAATGCATAAAACTTCCAAGCTCCGCTTATCGTCCAAGCGATCGCGAAGAACACTCAGCGTCCCGCGCTCCGTATCTTCGAAATCTTTGATCCGTGCTTGCGCATCCGCGAGCTGGGAAGATAGGTGGTGGAGCTTGTCTCGAAGGAGATCAGTCACACGCTGGGCTGTAGAGGGTCAACGAACGATTCGATGAAGAGCGAGAACGAGCTTACATGACCCCAACTCTCCCTGGAGTTTTTGAATGGTGTCTCTCATTTCAGATGCGCGAGAAAGGCCACCGCCTGCTTCAAGGAGAGGTTTTGACACCTAGTAGTGGCGGACACGTCGTCAACATTGCGAAAACCCAGCTGAAATAGCCTTACTGGTCAAGGCATCCGCTGCAGACCGCTTAATCTCAGTCGCCTCGGCGACAGCTTGTGAAAGCGAAGCTGCCGAAGCTTCATGAGACTTTCCAAGAGCAACGAAGGAAGAATGAAGTGACCCGTAGCTATTGAAGGTAGCATAAGTAAGAAACAACAGGGATCGACAGATAACTTACTTTTCTCGGAGAGTCGCCAGACCTTGCTTCGCCGTGACGAGCCTCTTTTCAGCCACTTCCTTCCCCGACTTTTCTTGTTCACAAGAATGGAACATTTGCTAAGGAGGTTTTGAGGGGCGATATTTCGGCGACGGCATCCGCAAGATTCGAGCGTGTTAAGGCAAGGTCAGACTTGGCGATGCTTAATTGCTGTAGCGGAAAGTTCTTCACGCACAGACTTGAGATCCTTCGTGGCCGCACTGCGCATCCGAGATAAATACTCATTTTGTGTTTGCAGCGCAATCGACTCCGCAAAAAAAGCTTCATATCGGTGGTTCTGTGAAGAAGAAGAAAGTTCAAAAGAACAGAAGCAAGAAGAACCACGAAGGAACGAACATGCTCAAGGAGATCGCTAAACGCTCGCTTTACATCCCTTTTCGCAATGGGAGGAGTTTTTTGTGGTTTGAGAGACGTATCTGGAATCGAATTGAAACCTAATTCATTTTTTGATCGCGGAAAAACTGCTTGAGACCGCGAGCTGGGGCGTGAAGGGGGAGGCGAAGAAGATGTATGCGCTCCAGATAGGGCCGGGGACTGTCGACGACTCGGTTTGTCGTCTATTACGATGTGTCAAACAACATTGCGAGTAGATTGTGAATAACTTACTCGACTCGCCTGGAATCGAGGTCAGAGATGCAGTTCCGTCGGGTTTCCGGCTATATTCTGGCGAGAATTCTGTTCCTCTGTGTGAAGTGGTCGATGAGGGACGATTTGGCGGCGATTTATGCGATGCTGGATGTATGTATGCGCGGCCTTCATATTTGGGTGAGGCCGGCAACGGTGATGACGCGTCTCTTCTTCCCTCTGTAGTTGTCATCAGGCTGATATTCGCGAAAGCAATGGTGGTAATGCTCACCTTGTGCCTCCCCCTGTCCGACGTCGCGAGCCTGCAGGATATTGCCCGGAGCCTTCGATGGTTTTTGGACATCTGAAAGAAATAGTGCTGATAGGCGATTCTGAGATGAACCCTCAGCCTGCGTTCGGTGTTGCGCTTGAAAAGAAAACACGGATTGTCGCGACGCGTCAGGAATGGCCAAGGCTTTAGGGTTCTTGAACAGAGCGAACTTGAAGGAATTTGCGTTGCGTGTCGAGCTGATTTTCGGCTTCTGTGTAAGTGGCCTACCCTGCGTCATTGAGAACGTCTTCGGCTTGACTTTTGTCATTGACGGGTCCGAAGTCTGTGACATTGAGCACTTTGGATTGATACCTCTGAGAGCATTACAATCAAAGCCGTTGTTTCCCATGGAATAGCCAAGAAATGGTTAGAAAATTGTATTTTGATTGTGGTGGTTGTCGGAAGAGGACAAAGAAACAAAATTTGCCAATGGTTTTTATTATTGCGTACATGAGGTCAATTCATGTATCCTATAGCTACAGATTCTGTCCTAACCCTGAGTCTGAGGGATTGAGTCCTGAAACGACCAGCTCAAAACGCGCGTTTATCATCGTTATAAATTTAAATAAAACAGCCGAGAATACAAAGATGGCAGGGGAACAGAGCTACCCAAACTGCAAAAAAGAAACGGAGTGGAGAGCCCTGTCGCGGCCAGAAGTCCAGAGATGCGGAGGCAAGGCAAGGGGCAGAACGGTATCAGACCAATCGACGCTAAACCCACAGAGGTCGAAGCGGACGCAAGTGAAAGGAAAGGCAAGAGGAAGCATCATTGGACTGATACCCAAAGCTGCCCCTCAAAAAGGTAGGCGGAGAAAGGGAAGGAGCAATGACTGCAAAAGCAACAGAGATGGAAGCAAGGGAGACCGCCACCATCGAACAAATCCATCAAACGAACAAACAGCGCCAAAACAAGAAGAAGACAAAGAATCAAAGCAATTAGAAAGAAAAGGAACTCACCAGCCTATTCACTGTCCGATCCTCAGAAAGGACTTGATCGAACCCTGATATAGGTGCCAAGAAGATGATAGCGTCCACTGCGATAAAAGAACATGCATGTCAACTTGTGCACAAAAGAAAGAAAGGAAGGAAGAAAGGGGAAGAGGAGGTACCATCGTCGAAGAAGGGCGCCCACGTAGCTAGCTTTCAGATTAGGATTTTTGAGGGATGCGTTGAGGATGGGACTTACGACGCTGGAACGAAAAGGGTGATCAGATTATTACAAGACATGAGGATAAGAAAGAGGCAAGAAGAAAGGACAACAAAGGAGAGAAGAAGAAAGAAACAGAAAAACCAACCTGACTCCGACTCCCACCAACATCCACAATCCTCCACTCCGTCCCGCTATCCCTCCCCGCAGTCGCTTCCATCTCAAATCTGTACTCTGATACGCCGACGGTTTTGAGTCGGGCTTTGAGGACGTCGTCTGTTTGTTCACATGGGGTGTTAGCTGTGTTCAAGGAGGGAAGAGGGAGGGGGAAGAAGGAAGGGGGGGACGTACCATCCGTAGGCATATACTTGAGCGACGTCAAGCGCTCCAGGTCGTCCAAAAAACTACAACGACGGCATTAGAATTACGTCTCCAAAAAGAAAAAAAGAGAAGGAAAACTCACAACCCCGACTCCTCCTCAATCCTAATCTTCCTCCGCCTCAACACCTCCCTAACACCCTCATCATTCCAAAGCGCAATCATATCCCTCCTACACATATTCAACACCTCCTGCGGCTCATCCTGTGTTTCTAATCCCGTGGTACCGGCGCTCATCGGTCTTGTCCCATTCCCTCCACCACTCCCTTTCCCATTACTCCCGTTTTTGTTTTGCTTCGCGCCGTCATGATGATCGCCATACCCATACCCAGACCCAGGATAAGTAACCCTAGCACGCGCCAAACCACCCTTCCACCCCGTACCAGGCCTAACGAAAATCTCTTGGTTCCTATACGCGTGGTTCCCCGTCCCACCCGACGTAGAACTCGCCGCCGAGGAGGACCCTGCACTCGTTCCAGCACCAACACCAACACCAGGGGGACCAGGACGAGCGAAATGCGTCGCCTCTTCCTCGTTGGGCGGGACAAGTTTTGCGATGAGGAGAGCCTCGATATGGCGCAGGGGTAACAAGCGCGCTTTGAGTGCGTCTAGGGGTGTGTTTTGGGCTAGTGTGAGTGGGGAGGTGGAGCGTGGGCTGCGGTAGTGGGGGTGGTGGTGGGGATGAACGAAATCAGACTCGGAGTCTCCGTCTGAATCTGGGTTGGACGGGGGTGAGTGGTGGTGGTGGTGGTGTCTGACGCGCGGGGGGGACGAAGAAGAGCCAAAGGTTAGCGTTGTGTCGTTCCCGTTGCCATTGTATTGCTCGTGTGGGTGGTTTGGTAAAGGCGGGCGGGAGATGGTGCGGGCCCTTGAACGAGGGGACGAGTACGGTGATGTGTGTGGTGAGGACGTTGAAGTTGAAGGAAAGGTCAAAGCGTCGAGGATGGTGCGTATTGACCTGACGATGTTGAGTTGGATAACGGCGCGCCAGAGGATACGTTCCTCGCGAAAGGCGGTGGGTGTATACAGTCGTTGAAATTCTGCAGGGTGGCGATAAGCTTTTCATATCTACCAAAAAAACAACAGAGGTGGACGTACGTCGTAGAGTTGTTGATTTCCCTAAACACACTCTCATAAATACAGTGTAGGTCAAAACGACCACAAAGCTCACCAGACTCGCTCTGACCCAGCAACAACAGCCTCACAATCCTCTTTTTCCTCCTCGCATGTCGTTCAGCCTTGATGCTAGCATCAATAGCCAAGCTAACCCTCTTTGCCTCTGCCTCATTCTGCAGCCTTACCACACGGTCTTCTGGAGACTCGTCCGGAGGCGGCTTGAGCACCTCGTCGAGTGGGTCGTCAGCGGTGCGGACGGGCATTCCAAGTAAGAGATAAGTATGATGGGGGGATTGAGGGGTTTGGATTATTGACGCCAGCCAGGTACAGCAGTCATACATACTTACAGTCGCGGACAAACAAAGTCAACCAAAAATATCAAAGTTCACCAAATTCTTCGAAAATAGTCTTACAGTGCTTTGCATTGCCGTTTGCACTTGGAGGTTTCGAAAATGTATTTGCATGTGTTGTTCCGTGACATCCACAAATCGGGAAGTAACAGGCCGCCGTGCATACTGCGCAATCACACGCTGTCAAAATCCATTCTTCGTCGATAGCGCGTCAAGCTTCAAGGCTCTTCCTCTCCATCCACCATCACTACTCTGCGTCTCGGCAGTGTCTGCCACCATGTCCTCATCCATGGACCATCTTGCAGCCTGCAAATTTCTTGTTCTCCGTGGACCGACTCTGAGCCACTTCCAGGATGCGCTACGAGCTCAGGGCGCAAAGCCGCATTTTGTGGGGCCTTGCGCCGTAATCTTCTCAGCGACATATTCGGTAGGCTATAATTTGAGAATGCTGAACTCCACTGACCTCATCCTGCAGGGGAATTGAATACGGAGCATACCAGTGTTTCAACAACTTTTCACACCATCTGCAGATATTCTCTTCAAATCTTGTATAAAAGGTGAGCGGTAATTTAAAAGATTTCTCAGTGCCCAATATGTTGAACCGTTCACTCTCAGACCAATTCCTACAACCACCCTTCACTCAGCCTAATACCAACGAGGCTCACGAAACTCAGGATGTTGATGCCGACACCACCACCAGAGACACGCGAAGGCCGTCGGCAGGCTGGCTCAGGAATCCCGCCTGGATTGGTACGTCAATTAGAATTCATACTACAAGCTGATTCTCATTCCTCGATGCAGATGGTGGTGTGAATCCACCTAAATATTATTTTTCGCATGAAGAGATTGACGCAGCGTGCTGCGCCTCTGGTGTAGAACCACCACCTCGATACACCCAACCCGAGATTCCGGTTGCCCCATCTCAGCCAATCACAACAGCTGGTACGTGTCCCCTAAGTCCTTTCTTTCAAACCATACCAATAAATTTGACAGGATTACCCCTTGCTACCCAATACGATATACTTTCTTCAAGGGTTTCACCAACGCCAGTCCCTGCAAATAATCATTACCGCATGGCTGGACCATTGGGAAATGGTGTTGGAAATGAACCTTGGGTACCTGGTACGTGTATTCATCAACTCTTACAGTTTTTATCTTATTCATATTTCAGCTGCGCCTCCACCCGATGGGCATCTCGTCAATGTAACACACACGTACACCGCAACGGAATCGACGACTGGTTCCTCCCGCAATGCGAAGGCTGCTGCTCCAAAGAAGAAGGCAACGACAATGCTGGGGAATATCACTCTCGAAGGCATAACACGTGTAGACTTTATCAAGGCTTTCCTTTCCATCCACAACCTTGACACCCAGTTTGCCCCTGGTGTCCACTCTGGTCCTCCGTTCAAGCTCTCATGGACCGGTTCTATGTGCGTATCTCAATATTAACTATTATTCATATCCTAATCAAGTTTTGCAGTGGCGGAAAAGGCAACGCGCCGACATTCTTGACAGACAAAAGCTTTAACCTCGCCCTTGCGGCCATCCTCAAGAAAGATAAGAAGAAGATTCACATCACCCTCGAGTTCGACACAGATGTAATGTCAGGCTATCGAATCCAACACCTGGTCTGTTTCCTTTTACTGCATCAATTCTTCATATTCACTTTGACATATAGGTTCCCTCATTGAATGTGCCAGTGAACAATGGCGAGGAGGAGCTTCTTTATGGAACCAGGGTAAGCTTTCTCTTTCCACGCCTTACATTTAATGACTTTGATGCCTGTAGATTCCACAACTCGCCCAATTCAACGATACCGAGCAAGTTAATGGACGATTCATCTTGGAGATCAAGAAACGGTGGCCATGTGCTTCTCATCAAGGAGAGCATGGTGAACCAGGCCATTGCTTTATCACAGTCTCTGGAGGACATCTGCGGCTCAACCCCCTCCGTCTCAAGATGTGGGCTGCTGCTATGGTACGTCTAAACCTTTGCAAATACATTTTAAGCCTGAATATCTTCTTTAGGCATCTGGTGATGTTATGAAGCATGATCCACCATGCACAGAGGCCTTTGATGGTCCACGCGATGGACAGATCTCGTCTATCCGAGCGCGCGGCCACTCAGGTGCAAGCACGGCGTCTACAGCCTTTGCTCCAGCCAACAATGACATGATGACGCTCGTCATGGCGTCTCTTATTCCCGTCCTTGGCGGATTATCCCGTAAACGTCCCCGTTCTGAATCCCCCGGCCGATACTCGCCTCCGCTTCCCAAGCGTCCTCATTCTGATTTACAGACACCAATTCGCAACCAGCCCAATGTCCAAACCCCAAAGCGCCCTCGCCGTGAATTCCAAA